GCGGTAAAGCTCTACCATAAATGAAGTGACCATCGACCGCGAACAGAGAGCTTCCTAAGGAGGGCCGGCAAACGTTATTGCATAAATAAACAGCTCTAGGAAGAAGTCGATACCAATCAGCTTGTAAGCCAAGGGAACCACTCTTCTGCAATAGACCACGTAAGATACGGTTGATAGAGTGATGCTTCGCTTCATGCCATCCGCTAAGATAACTTGTATGTCCTGGACAACGGGACCACCTAATACCAGTCGCTTTGGTCCATGCCACGACTTCAGAAGAACTGAACCTCGCATCAGAATCAGATAAAATACCCATCACATATCCATGCTCAAGCATGATAGAGTCAAGGGCTTCGACTAAAGCATTAGCTGGGCAATGATCCTTAACCACTCTTTGTACAATGTAACCCGAATAACTGTCAACGCATATCAGAGCCATGATACCATCATGATCAGCAGATCTTACACCTGGTTGGGAATGTGGACCTATCAAGTCAATACCCACGATCTCCCAGACACGAGTAGTTCTTAAGCATGGCTCAAAGTCGGGCGAGTCGAGCTGCAGGGCTCGACTCGACTCGACATTTCTCCGCCACCGGGCTCGACCGAGTTCGACTCGTCGAAAATCAGACGAGCCTCGACTCGACTCGCCGGACTCGACATGCCGGAAGGTGGTCAATACCATTGACTCAATAGGTACTAACTGTGACTAATGCCAACTAGGTTCAACCAGGTCTATGGAAGTCTCCCATTGGAAGACTTCAGCTGTCAGGTACGCATCTGTGAATGAACGTTATGTTCACAGACTGTGAGCATAACGTTCACAGATACCGTTCAATTTGAACGGTTCAAACTTGCAAATTGCAAGTTTGAACCTTGGTGTCACGAATATCATATCCGCGGCTGTTCTGATACAGTTCAAGTATACACCCAGATTCTGTGAAATATAGTGGGGGATCATTGACGGGATTTGACCGTCAATGTCAACGAGTGTTGAACTTCGGTGTCTCGAATATCGTATCCGTGGCTATTCTGATACAGTTCAAGTATACACCCAGATTCTGTGAACTATAGAGTGGGGGAGCGTGGAGGGAATTTGACCGTCGATGTCAATGATTGTTGAACTTTGGTGTCTCGAGTATCATATCCGTGGCTGTTCTGATACAGTTCAAGTATACACCCAGATTCTGTGAACTATAGAGTGGGGGATCATGGACGGGATTTGACCGTCAATGTCAACGATTGTTGAACTTCGGTGTCTCGAATATCGTATCCGTGGCTATTCCCATACAGTTCAAGTATACACCCAGATTCTGTGGACTATAGAGTGGGGGAGCGTGGACGGAATTTGACCGTCAGTGTCGACGATTATTGAACTTCTGTGTCTCGAATATCATATCCATGGCTATTCCCATACAGTTCAAGCATACACCCAGATTCTGTGAACTAAAGAATTGGGGAGCGTGGACGGAACTTGACCGTCAATGTCAGCGATTGCTGAACTTCGGTGTCTCGAATATCATATCCATGGCTATTCCCATACAGTTCAAGTATACACCCAGATTCTGTGAATTATAGAGTGGGGGAGCGTGGACGGAATTTGACCGTCAATGTCAGCGATTGCTGAACTTCGATGTCTCGAATATCATATCCGTGGCTGTTCTGATACAGTTCAAGCATACACCCAGATTCTGTGAACTAAAGAATGGGGGAGCGTGGACGGAATCTGACCGTCAATGTCGACGATTGCTGAACTTCGGTGTCTCGAATATCATATCCGTGGGTGTTCTGATACAGTTCAAGTATACACCCAGATTCTGTGAGCTAAAGAATTGGGGAGTGTGGACGGAACTTGACCGTCAATGTCAACGATTGCTGAACTTCGGTGTCTCGAATATCATATCCGTGGGTGTTCTGATACAGTTCAAGTATACACCCAGATTCTGTGAACTAAAGAATTGGGGAGCGTGGACGGAACTTGACCGTCAATGTCAACGATTGCTGAACTTTGGTGTCTCGAATATCATATCCATGGCTATTCCCATACAGTTCAAGTATACACCCAGATTCTGTGAACTATAGAGTGGGGGAGCGTGGACGGAATTTGACCGTCAATGTCAGCGATTGCTGAACTTCGGTGTCTCGAATATCATATCCATGGCTATTCCCATACAGTTCAAGTATACACCCAGATTCTGTGGACTATAGAGTGGGGGAGCGTGGACGGAATTTGACCGTCAATGTCAGCGATTGCTGAACTTCGATGTCTCAAATATCATATCCGTTGCTATTCTGATACAGTTCAAGCATACACCCAGATCCTGTGAATTATAGAGTGGGGGAGCGTGGACGGAATTTGACCGTCAATGTCAGCGATTGCTGAACTTCGATGTCTCGAATATCATATCCGTGGCTGGTCTGATACAGTTCAAGCATACACCCAGATTCTGTGAACTAAAGAATGGGGGAGCGTGGACGGAATTTGACCGTCGATGTCGACGATTGCTGAACTTCGGTGTCTCGAATATCATATCCGTGTGTGTTCTGATACAGTTCAAGTATACACCCAGATTCTGTGAACCAAAGAATTGGGGAGCGTGGACGGAACTTGACCGTCAATGTCAACGATTGCTGAACTTCGGTGTCTCGAATATCATATCCATGGCTATTCCCATACAGTTCAAGTATACACCCAGATTCTGTGAACTATAGAGTGGGGGAGCGTGGACGGAATTTGACCGTCAATGTCAGCGATTGCTGAACTTCGATGTCTCGAATATCATATCCGTGGCTGTTCTGATACAGTTCAAGCATACACCCAGATTCTGTGAAGTAAAGAATGGGGGAGCGTGGACGGAATTTGACCGTCAACGTCGACGATTGCTGAGCTTCGGTGTCTCGAATATCATATCCGTGGGTGTTCTGATACAGTTCAAGTATACACCCAGATTCTTTGCACTATAGAGTGGAGGAGTGTGGACGGAATTTGACCGTCAATGTCAGCGATTGCTGAACTTCGGTGTCTCGAATATCATATCCATGGCTATTCCCATATAGTTCAAGCATACAGCCAGATTCTGTGAACTAAAGAATGGGGGAGCGTGGACGGAATTTGACCGTCAATGTCGACGATTGCTGAACTTCGGTGTCTCGAATATCATATCCGTGTGTGTTCTGATACAGTTAAAGTATATACCCAGATTCTGTGAACCAAAGAATTGGGGAGCGTGGACGGAACTTGACCGTCAATGTCAACGATTGCTGAACTTCGGTGTCTCAAATATCATATCCATGGCTATTCCCATACAGTTCAAGTATACACCCAGATTCTGTGAACTATAGAGTGGGGGAGCGTGGACGGAATTTGACCGTCAATGTCAGCGATTGCTGAACTTCGATG